GGACAAGAAATAGGACTGGGACTCAAAGAAAGTAACATCCATGGGCACAAACGACTTACGAGAAGAAGGGTGGTAGCATTTATACCTCTTTTGAGTAGGAGAGTAACCAAGGAAAACACACTTGAGGAAGCGAGGGTCCAACTTACCACGAGAAGGAGAGTGATTATGAACAAAACAGACACAACCAAATATTTTGGGAGGAATAGAAAACAAGGACTGGGAACCTAGAAGGACGTGAAGAGGAGCCTGTTTTTGCAAGACCTGGGTAGGGAGACGATTAATAAGATGGGCAGCGGTGAGAACAGCGTCGCCCCAATAGGGCCGAGGCACACTCATAGAAAAACACATGCACCGAGACATGTCAAGAAGATGCCGATTCTTGCGTTCCGCCACCCCATTTTGTTGAGGGGTATTGGTGCAAGAGGTCTAATGGATAATGTCATGAGTAGAGAAATATTGTCTTAACCCAGAATCCATGTATTCCCCGCCATTATCAGAACGAAAGAGTTTGACAGTGGCCCCAAACTGAGTACAAATCATCTTATGAAAATCGTGAAACACAGAGAAAATCTCACTCTTAGTTTTCATGAGATACACCCAAGTAGTACAAGAAAAATCATCAATAAATGTAACAAACCAGCGATGACCTTTCACAGACATAATACGAGAGGGACCCCAAACATCAGAATGTATTAATGAAAAAGGAACTAAGCTTTTATTCAAACTGGGAGCAAAAGAAGCTCTGTGTTGTTTTCCAAGTTGACAAGACTCACAAAGAAAGTCAGACACATGATGATTTGCAAAACTAAATGGAAATAAATGCTTAAGTAAATAAAATGCAAGATGCCCAAGACGCTGATGCCACAGCCATAAATCAGCGTGGGTAGTAGAAGACGTGGTGGAAGAATAAGCAAGTTTGTCCGGTTGATCCAGGAAGTAGAGACCATTTTCTGCACTACCACTGCCAATCATCCTCTTCGTGACAAGGTCCTGAAAAAGACAATAATCAGGAAAAAATGTCACACTACAATTCAAATCCTGGATAAGACGACTCAAGGATAACAGATTAACAGAAAAATTAGAAACATGGAGAACAGAAGATAGATGGATGGTAGGAGTGACTTGGACTAAACCTTTTCCAGAAATGGAAGAAACAGTACCATCTGCAATCCTAACTTTGTCCTGACCTGAAGAGGGCTTATAAACAGAGAAAAGATCAGAGGAGCCAGACATATGATCTGAGGCACCGGAATCAATAATCCAAGACAAAGACTTATGACACAGGAAAACACAAGGAGAAGAGGCTAAGTTACGTGAGCGGGCAAAGGACGAGGAAGCTGTACTGAGAGCAGTCGAAGACCGACGGTCCAACAATTGGCGCAAAGCATCCTCCAGCTCAGCATCAGAAGCTTGGGTAACAGAGGCAGAATTAGAATCAAGTGTATCAACGGCACTAGACTGATGAGCCCGAGAATAGGAACCACGTCCTCTAGACTGACCGGACCGACCTCCTCGAGAACTAGACCGATCACCTCGACCCCCGGATGGAGTCCCATGAAGTTTCCAACACGTCTCACGAGTATGCCGCGGCTTCTTGCAATAATCACAGAATACAGACTCCTTAGCAGTAGACGGAGGAATGGGAGTTAGGCTGAGGCCATCCCGAGGAGTAGACAGTAAGGCTGAGCGGCGGTCAGTAGAGACAGGGGACATAGGGTATCAACGGCACTAGACTGATGAGCCCGGGAATAGGAACCATGTCCTCTAGATTGGCCTGGCCGACCTCCTCGAGAACCAGACCGATCACCTCGACCCCCGGATGGAGTCCCATGAAGCTTCCAACACGTCTCACGAGTATGCCGCGGCTTCTTGCAATAATCACAGAATACAGACTCCTTAGCAGCAGACGGAGGAATGGGAGTTAGGCTGAGGCCATCCCGAGGAGTAGACAGTAAGGCTGAGCGGTCAGTAGAGACAGGGGACATCATAGCAGACCGGCGACTCTTCTCTTTCTGTACATAGGCAAAGGCCTCCTAAAGTGAAGGAAGAGTGTCCATACCCAGAACTCGACCCCTAACTGGATCATACTCCACATTTAGGCCTGCCAGAAATTTAAAGACCCGTTCCCGTACGATGAACTTCTTGTACCCGACAGAATCAACAGGGCAAACAGGCTTATAGTCTTGCAAGTGGGCAAGGCGTTTCCAGCCATTGGTGAGGAAAGTGAAGTACTGAAGAACCGTCTGCTCCCCCTGAAGTGAGCTCTCAATAGAGCGGCGCAACTCAAACGCTTGTGAGAAATTCCCTTTGCGGGAATAGGTGGCAGCCACAGCATCCCAAACATCTTGGGCAGTCTCCATAGACAAGTAGCCCTCACCAAGTTCTGGAACCATCGAATGGATAAGCCAACCCATAATCAAAGAGTTGGTAATCTCCCATTGGTCATAACCCGAGTCAGTGGTACTAGGTGTCTGTATCCTGCCATCAACATACCCCATATTCCCTCTGCTCTTCAAAAACATAGTCAAACTTTGAGACCATGCTAGGTAGTTTTGACCATTAAATAGAGAGGTGGTGATTTTCAGACTAGGGTTGGGGTTCTCAGTCATGATAGTAGGTATAATGGGACTCTCACTCCTCGGTGTTTGAGAAGAAGGGGACACACTGGTGGAATCTGTCATGATACTATAATACCGAACCCGCAACAAAACTAGTGGTAATCACAAACCCGGAAGGTGGTGGTGAAAGAACAGGCACAATGACCACTATAAAGGCATAACAAAATTAAGAAACCATTTTCAGTTTTTTTTTATTTTATAATCTATATATATATTTATGTATTTATTTATTTATATATGTATGGGTACGGTGGTATACACGACATAGGTTATATCATACTAAACAGGGAGGGTATGAGTGTATGAGAGATGAGTGTATACCAGTGAGATCGACGGTCGACGAAGGCGACAGAGGAGAAAACGAGCGACGAAGACGAGCGACGATTGTGATGGAGACGAGCGACGAACTGATGGGCAGAGTGACGACGGCGACTGAGGATGAAGACGAAGCAGAGCTGAGGACGGCTGAGTGAGGATAAAGACGAAGCAGAGCTGAGGACGGCTGAGTGAGAAGGCGACAGGAAGGCGGCTGAATGACGATCGACAATCTGAAGATCGACCTAGCAGATGATCCACGGAGGTAAGTTTCGAACCGTAGAGTGAGGGTGTGCCGAAACCCTAGAGGTGAAGCTCTAATACCATGAAGCTTGAGTAACCAGCTTAGGGTTTGATAAGATATCATCCCCTATTTATAAATGAAGATTAGGATTTACAAGATGAGACAATTACAAGATGAGCCCTGAGGGCATAGAACAATTACAAACCAATAACGTAGATAATAATAATATAATATGCCATTGCTAACAGGAAGTCCCATTCTTCCTCACTGTTGTCTTGTGACTTTTGGATGTCACCAAGTTACCTTCTTCTTGCCTTCTCTTTGAACGACAATCTTTTGCGTAGTGACCTCTCTTTCCACATTTGTAGCACTCTATGTTTACGTCGCCAGGGTGCTGAGGATCGTCAATCATGGTTTTTGCTACTAGATTGAGCTCCCCTTGTTTGAGAGCTCCCATCCTGCTGCTGTGATTTGGCATGTTCTTCATTTTTCTTTGGCCTTGTAGAGTTAGGCCGTCTTGGTCCATCCCTTCTATTATTATTACTGAAAAGTGTCTCCTCTTTAGTTTTCAATGAGACCCCAGCCATTTGCTTGCATAGGCTTTCTTGATTGTCCAATAAATTCTCCAACTCTATAAGAGATGGTTGAATTGGCCAACCCCTTATAGTTGTGATGAATGCATTATACTCGGGCCTTAACCCATGTATAATGATCCTTGTCTTTCTTTCCTCATTAATATTTGCTTTAGGATCTAGATTTGAAATTTCATGACATAGATCCTTAATTTTTGTAAAATATTCACTTATGGACTTACTTCCTTGAGTGGTAGACATCAACTCATTTTCTAGAAATTGGAGCCGAGCATCATTTGTTTTTGAAAATAGTGATGCAAAGGTGTCCCATGCTGCTTTGGGTGTGTCATCATTCCTGATTCGCCCGAGCAACTCATCCTCTATGGTTGTCTTGAGCACATACATTGCCTTTCCGGCCTTGATCTTTCATTTGCGGAGTGTCTCGACAATTTCCTTGGAAGGTGGTGCAGTCTCATTTCCATTAACAACCTCCCACAAATCTTGCCCTTCAAGGTAGGATTTGATGTGACTCTGCCAACTCTGGTAGTTGTTGTTGTTGAGTCTTGTGACTCCACTCGTTGTGTTCACAAGATCTACCATCGTGACTTGGTGTGATCCTCCTGCACTTTCACCAAGTAAGTGTGGTCTCTAATCCACAAGCTTCACAGTCTTAAGTTGCGCACGATCAACTCAAGAAAACGGTCATTGACCGCCATGCTCTGATACCAAATTGTTGAGTTAGAACACAACGGTTATACAAAAGTGAATCTTTATTTAGATATAAAGATACCCTCAAGTATACAAAAAGACTCTCATGGACACCTCACTTTTGGAATTACTCACACTCAAGCACTTGACTCCACTCTTTGTTGTTATATTTTCCAAATGAAGTCACTTCCCTTTATATAGTCATCCACCTCCTCAATGGATGGCTAGGATCATTTTGATCCAAGGGCTATTATTAACCCTCTAGAATATTCTAACATATACACATACTTTTCCATATTCTAGATGTTTTTGTCCTATCTTTTAAACATTTTTGCTTATCTCAAGTGTATTTGCATATTGTTATTCATCTTGAAAAATTGTGATAAATTATACCGTTAATGCCCTTAACCTTCTTGCACCAGTTTAGCCTTTATGTGTGTCTTAGATGCCTACTTGCTTATATGTTTAAAGCTGAACTCATTCGAATGTTTGACCCTCCATTACCTTTGAGTACAATTTCATATTCTCTATATGTTTTGTCAGGGGATTCAGTCTTGTAATGGACAATCTACCTGATAGCATCATAGATAATTCTTTTGGTGATCTCTCTGTGGTATGTCAAGTCATTGAAGTTTTCATGTTTCTAGCTTTTCTCCCCTTGCTCCAATATGACTATAAAAGGACATTGAATTACATCATTGTGTGATATTTTTCATTTTAACCTCTCTTTTTTCATATCTCCTCTACATCACTTTGGAAATTTACAGGAGTTCCCTTTGATCGGGAGTTTGCTCCATCAACTACGCCTAACTGTCGGTAAAATTGATGACTGCTGCCCAGATTTCCTACCCAATGACTTGCTGCTTTATTAGCCATGTACTCCTCTGAACTTATATATATATATATATAAATCTTCTATTCTATTCCTTGTACTCCTGCTTTTGAAGGGGGGTAAATGGAGAAACAAAGATGAAGTTTGAAGTTGTTACTGCCTCACTTGGTCACTGCTTTTGTATTTTTCAATATCTTGGAATTGTGGATATGAATCACATAGACATCAAAGACAATTCTTTTGATGCAAAAATAATGTGAAATTGTTCAACTCTCTTCCTTTATGTTCAACTCTCGCATGAAATCTCCTCTCTTGTTGATTGAGAAATTGATTGCGAAGTTATGGTTATATGTGCTGATCAAAACAAAAACAAAAAATTATGGTTTTATGTGGCTGCTGTCAGCTTCTCTTATGGACTGTTTCATGCTTATCAAAGTTGTGAGTTAAAAATCAAAACAGATGAATTTCTTTGGTGAATTTGAATCATTATATGAAAATGGCTCAAAATGGTAAAGATGAGCTTTTCATCCTATTTGGTGCAACTTATTGAGGTTGCTTATTTCTTTTTTATTTAAAAAAATAATTATGTGAGGAGATTTTGCTTTACAATTTATGAGTACTTGGAAAAGAAAGATTTTTATCTTTAACTTCTCAATTATGTCCCTTCCAGCCATTCCTTCTAGTAATTATTAAGACGGAGAAGACAGAGGAAAAGGCCATTGGACCACCACCTTCTTTGGTGTTGTATATACAATCAGAAAACTATGAGCAGTGCCCAAAGATGAAGCACATAGTTTGGAGATTTTGGGTGTGTTTGGTTTGTATTTGTAGAGTAGTTTTTAAGATAAAAAGTACGAAAACTTGTTTGGTTTGCTTTTTTTCAGAAATGGTTTTGAAAAATTATTTTGGGAGAGAGTTTTAAAAAAAGTGATTGATTTGATGTGTATGAGAGAGAGTGCTTTTGGAAAATAGGAAACCAAACAAAATTTTGAGATTTTTTTTAGAAAAATTTGTTTGGTTTGATTACTCTTGAACATTTGTAGAGAATTTTTCCCAAAAATTTTTCTGAAAAACAAACCAAACAAGGCCTTTGTCTGCTGATGGCCATTTTAATCTGATTTGTGTGGCTCGTTCATATCTATCTGAATGGGACGAATTTTACTCACTCCGACACTTATGTGGGACAGGGGCGGGTATCACTTCTCATGATCCAAACCCAACCCGACCCGACATAATTAATAACATATAAATAAATAATATATGTATATATATAATATAATTAGCTATAAGAAAATAATATTAAAAGCTTATAATTTTGTTTAAATATAAATAAATAATAATCTTAAAAATCTCAATACTTATATAAATGAAAATAAAAAAAAAATTATTTAGTGTTAAGAATTTAAATAGTCCTTAATTTTTTTGACTAATTAAAATGTGATTGGCTATTCGCGAAGATGCGGCTGGGGCTGGGGCACGGGCAGTGGTGGGGAATGGCAAACTCACTCCAAACCTGCCCATAACCATCCCTAATTTTGTGTAAGGGTGTTCATCTTCTAATTTTTATTGGTAGTGCACTAAAATTTCGGGTGACTCTCCATATGTGCCTCGTAAATGTAAAATAAAGTTCAATCAAAGTATGAAAATACCACATTTGTTATGAGTCGCAAATATATTAGCAATTGGATGTGCTTTTCAAATTTGGTAATTTTGAACCCATTGATGAGTGCCTGATTTATAAAATTTGAAAAATAAAATGAATTTAAGTTATGTTTAGTTAACCATTTCCAATATGAGGTTGACTTATAATGGTTCAAGTTGTCGGCTTGAATTTGTAAATGGGTCTGAGTTTTTTTTTTTTTTTTTTTTAAGAAAATATCCAATTGGATTTTAGATAATGGAGATTTGGTCAAAATCTTTCATAATAAAATTTTAATATATTAACGATAAACATAAAAGGTTTTTTTTTAAAAAAAGTCTAACAAATATCACTATTATAAAAATATTAAACTTTAAAATAATATAACTTTTGATATAAATGTCGATTTTTAATAAAATTAATATTTTTAGAACTCTCTCATCAAGATCTATTAAATAAAATTCATATTGACTGTAAAAATCTGTAAAAAAAAATTATTTTCATTGAAATTGATGTAACCAGTAACAGTAACATGTTATTTTGTCTCACAGTAACAGTAACATATTACTCTGTTTGACAATTACTCAATTTGATAGTAACCCGTTACTCTGTCTCATAATTACATGTTACTTTGTTTGACAGTAACATATTACTCTGACAATATTGTCCAAAAAAGAAAAAAAAATATATATATTTTACTTTGTCATTACTCAATTATATATTTTCTCCTTAAGAAATTTATGAAGAAAAATAAATTAAGCTGTCATTTTTATCAAATAAAGGTCCAATAAAAATGTTTTGATTAAATTTTCCTTTAGATGTTTGTAAGGTAGTTAAAATTCAATAAAATATCTAAATCTAAATCGTAGATAAAACTTTATTTTTTCCTCAAAAGTTACTTACACTCATTAATTTTTTTTTAACTTTATTTATTTATTTATTTATTTTTTTGGTGTGTGTGTGTCCAAATTAGATTTAATTGATAGATAAAAATAGATACATCATTCCCATCTCTAAAAGAATTACAGCCAAAGTTAAGTGTTCAAACACGAACATTTGAATAACGGGCAAATTAAACTAACAATTTCTATACTTTGGAATTTATGTCATTTTGGTACTTAACTTTTTAATTGTGACATATTTAAATTTAAATTTTAAATTTTATTTCAAATAAGGACAATTGAAGATACCATTGCTTAATTTCAATGGCAAAATCGTCAATTTAATAAAATAAAAACTAATTTGATAAAAATAAATGTCAAAAAAAATATTTTTAATTTTTTTAAAATTATTTTTATTCACCAATGGGCAAATTAAACTAACAATTTCTATACTTTGGAATTTATGTCACTTTGGTCCTTAACTTTTTAATTGTGACATATTTAAACTTAAATTTTGAATTTTATTTCAAATAAGGACAATTGAAGATACCATTGTTTAATTTCAATGGCAAAATCGTCAATTTAATAAAATAAAAACTAATTTGATAAAAATAAATGTCAAAAAAAATATTTTTAATTTTTTTAAAATTATTTTTATTCACCAATGATAAAATTATGTAAAATTGACAAAAATTAATAACAATTACATGATTAATTTTTAAAAATTAATTTTACATGATCATTATCCAAACACATAATAAAAATTAATTTTATAAAAAAAATAAAGAAATGTCTAAAAGATTTTTCAATTTTACATAATTTTATTTTTAGTAGGTAAAAATAATTTTTAAAAATTTAAAAATATTTATTTGATATTTATTTTTGTCAAATTAATTTATATTTTATCAAATTAATAATTTTATTCTTAAAAAATCTAACAATATCTTTAATTATTTTTATTTAAAATAAAATTCAAAATTCAAACCAATTAAAAAAAAAGTTAACAACTAAAGTCACGCAACCACAAACGATAGACTTTCACCCTTGAATGCCCAACAACCATATACCCAAAACATTTTTTACCCTCTCATTTTTGCTTCTTCCTTTTATTGCTTTGCAGATCTGAAGAAAGTCTTGGAATTGGATCAATCAGATATCCAAGCTAGGAGAACCATCCAACGTTTGGAGCCATTAGTTGCTGAAAAGCGTGAAAGGATGAAGCAAGAGATGATTGGTGAGTTCAACTAATGATTTTTTTCTACTTAAATTTTTTATTTTGCTCCTCGCTTGTTCATGTTATTTGATTGATAGAATCTTTTAGTTTTTCTTTCTTCTAGTCTTTCAGAAATATATTTTCACAGCCTTCTTTTTCGATGTTATTTTTTCCTCCTTGTATTTTTGGCCCCTGTATCCACGTGCTCAAATCTCTCCCTTTTCTATTTGCATTTTTGTATGATTTCACAGTCATTATGACTTTCTAGCACTCTAATTACTCTTTCCTGATTCTAGTAAAACAACTGTTGGAACTAATAGAGGTAAGATGAATCTGTATGTATAGTAAAAATGCAGGTAAAATGAGGATTAGAATCATGACATTCAAATTAACATGAGCTTCGTTTATTTATCGGGACAAAAATCATGAGCTTCGTTTCCTTTCGAAGTTGTTTGTCTGTTCAGGTTTAGCTTTATGTATTTATTTAATTATTTAATTCGTTGGTACTAGGTAATTTAGTTTTTATTACAAAAAAGAAAAAAAGAAAAAAAGAAGGCATTACAAAAGTTATGCATTATTGAGACTACCTTTTTACATCTGTACTTTAGATGGCTGCTCAATTGAATAGGCGCATATAGGAAACCCTTTTGCTTATAATCTACATTGGTCATGAAGTGGGCTGTTTGCATGCGACTAGGTGAAGCTGGGTGCAAGTTGCTACATAGAAAACTATAAACAAGTACTCAACGAATAAATAGTTACAAATATTTTCATGTTCTCCAAAGTTAATACTTCATCGAAAAAAATAAGAATAAAATCTAATTATCCAAAATTATCTAATGCTGATGCTCCCTTTTCTTTTTGACTTCTAAGGAATATTAAGAGTGCCATTGTGCTGTAATGTTAGCCTCAGACTCTCGTTGTGAATTACTCCTTGTGGTTGGGCTCTAGGATGAATGTGAATTACTCCTTTAAAATTTTGGTCTATTACAGTTGCATCACTTCCACTCATCACATGATTGTAATAATGAAAAGGAACATAAAACATGATCCCGGTGTTTCTGAAAAGCTGTTGTGGACGCGCCCTCGGGCTTCATGCTACCACGGTTCGGACTCCATTTTGTCATGGTTCTTGATCTAAACCAAAGAGTCCAAATCCGGCAAATCGTTTTGAGAAAAAAAATAGATTTTTAGAAAAGAAGTGCCAAACATGAACTGTTTTGCCAAATACAGAGTCGCCACCTAAATATTTTATTTTGGAAAATTTAGGAAACCCTAACTCGGTGCCAAAGGCCACGTGTCCATCATCACCAAAGTTGCCTCGGCTCGGGAACTTGGGTACGATTGGAGAAAGTCAGCTATGAGCACCCCCTCTCGCCCGATCAAAGATCGGCCTCTACTAACCGTGATATCTTGTTTTGAAAGTATTATGTGTTCTTATTCCGGTTATTAGTCTAGAATTACTATGTTATGCGCACAGCAAACAAGTATAGACCAAGTCGCCTAAATTGGAACAAAACATTGCATGTTTGTTTCGAAAATGGTTTGCTACTCGCAAGTAGGCTAAAATACAGGTTTTGCCACTCTTAAGTGGGCTTTAGAAAAGATGGTTTTGCCACTATCTAGTGGGCTCAAAACTCACAGTTTTAATGCATTATTCCAATTTAGGTAATTCAACCTCCATCCACAGGCATTCAAGCAGTTATATCACATAAGCAAATAGCCTCATGGTAAGCATGCTGTTATGACAACACTCACACGCATGCAAGGATGCTAAAGCATAAGAACTTACCGAGTACTCCAAGCCAAAACAGAAACCAGTTAGTAATCATATGCATGATCCTAGTTCATATTAAGATGGCTAATGCAACACATACAAAATGCAAATAAGATAGGCTCGGCTAAACTACAATGACATGTGAAATGCTACAACTAGCACGTATTCAATTTGGAATTAAAATACAAATGCAGTTAGAATGATGCGCTGAGCCCGGTGCATGCAAAACGAATGAATGGATGCAAACATGTTATCATACTGTATGCTAATTGAAACATGCCCTAGACTAACCATCGAAAGCTAGTAAATAAAAGGGAAGAAAGATGTGAAGTTGGGAGACATACACACACTCACGCACACTTATTACACAATTGCCCTCACTCGGAGGGTCTGAATAAATATTACACAACTAAATGAATACCGCTAAATTAATTGTTACATAATTCCTAACTAATTAATAAATTAAATGCAGAAGGAACGTGGCCGCAGCCCTGCCTCGGAATGTGTGAATGATGCATGCTTGACTCGTCTCGCCCGGAAACTCGCTGCCATAGCACTGCTGCCTCTGTTTTCACTGCCTTGCTCCTTTGAAAATTCTGAAAGTCTCCAGACCCCTTTTGAATCATCCTCTGAGTGCTCTGGGATGTCGCTGGCCAAAATTAATGTTCACCGGCCATGGTAATGGGCTTATCGGCTAACTTTTGTACCACCAGCCAGCCACTGATGGTCGGTCGGCACTGTAGGTGGCCGGCCGGCCATTGCTTCCTGCAGAATCCTACAGTTGATAGCAGTGGAAGGCAAGCAGTGTATGGCATGGAATTTTCAGGCAAATGTGAGCATGGCCACACTCCCTATCATGCAATGAACTCAAGGGAGGGCCCTCGACCCTCGGGCCATCAACTACGCAATTCGATGCATGATGGCCTAAGAAGCCAAGTTAGCAACTTAATGTAGATGCATGCAACAAACAAATGAGTGCTAACACCCTATCATGTTGAGATCAAGGGTATTGGCGACCGAGGGTTGAGATGTGTTTCGTCACTTCGGGTACGAACACACCTCTCCCCTCATGCTTGGTTTGACACCCCAAATTAAGCGATACAATGCATGTATGCCATATGCAATGCAAAGTGATGCAACTCATGCAAGGCTACACTAATGCAATATGAACATGTCAAGCATACAACAAAACTATATAATGCAACTTAGCTAAGTAACATGCAAACATGATGCAATATAAGCATGCAACCAATGCAATGCAACATGTCAAACATGCAAAGTATGCAAGGATGGACTTATACTGAAATGAGAAGGCCTCAGCCCACCCCAAAACAGTGGCCAAAAATGCCCAAAATGGAGGTGCCAACATGCAAAACAAATATGCAAACCAAAGGGCCTAAAGCTAAGGCATGGAAGGCAATTTTCAAGAGCACCCAAAAAAGGGTAAGCATGGATATCAAGACCTACAAAATCAGAGATATGGAATGGTAGAATAAGCCCCAAAACCCACATAAATGACATCCCAAAAGACTCAAGCAAAGAGGCATACACCAAAGCCAAAACATGGAGCATAAGACTACACCTCTTGAAGGCATTGAAAGGAGAACAAATCCAAGTATACAAGCATCAAACATGGACTGAAATGGCATGGCAAATGATTCCAAATCACCAAAAATAGACCAAATGAGGCATGCTTATGGCTTACACACTCAAGGCTCACAAGCCAAAACACATAGAAACTATACCAAACAAGGATTTTATGGTCAAATCAGCACCCAACAGTCCTTGAGCATGGCAAAATAATGTTAAAACCTTCATGAAGTTAAGCTAGAACATGCAAGCATCATGGCCTAAATGCAAGGCACATTTCTAGGCAAAATAGGAGAATGCAAGGCAAGTACAATATGCATGCAAAGGGCCATAAATCCGACCAAAGGCAGAGGCAACATATGACCAAATAATATCCAAGAACCTCTGAAATAGGGCCAAAAACAACCGAGCACATATGCTACCCTTATGGGCTAAAAACATGGACAAATGAGACACAAAAGGGAGAGGGGTGTCCCTCCCCTATGCAAGACTTCAAACCCCCTTCTTCACCGTTGAAAATCTACTGGATTTCAGTGGTGAGAAGGCCAATACACCAAAGTAACCAAAGCTTAACAATGGAAGCACAAAAAGGGCCAAACAAGGCCTTAGAGGGGGAGGTCGACCCCCAACACCAAAACAACCTTAATGAAGTATCTTAAGCATGCAAATACAAAACTTTTTTTAGTTATACACAAAGTCTAAATCAGTAAGCAAGATAGGTTAAAGACTAGTACAAGATTGGGGAAAATAAAGCAAAAAGTGTTACCCTTGAAGAACACTTCAAGAACAGCAAGCTCAGCCTCTTCCTTACGATCAAAACCACCTCAAAAATTCAAGAACAAACCCTCAAGACCTCCCAAGTCGAAGTATGGTGTGATGGTGTGTGTTTTAGTGCAAAACCAAGAACAAAACTCACCTTTAGGACCTCAAACACACACAAAATGAAGAGAGAGAGGGAGATATAGAGAGAGAAAGTATATATCAGATATATATATATGTATCTTGCTCTGGTTTTTTCTGAACCTCATCAAAGGAGAAGAGGGGTCTCTTATATAGACAATGGAAAAGGTTAAGCTTCCAAGGGAAGCTAACAAAGGGGGCAAGGCTTCCTAAAGAGGCCAAGGCAAAGGGGCCAAGGCTTCCTTAGGAAGCTGGGACAGGTGTCCAGGCTTCTTGAGGAAGCTAAGACAAAGGTCCAAGCTTCCTCAAGAAGCTAGACCAAAAGGGTGTAAAAAAGGGCAAAACAGCCACAGATGTGCACGGGGGCAGGGTTTGTGCATTCCAGCTGGCACAGCTGGGATGCACCATGCCTGAAAAAGGCAAAAAGGTAGTACCGACCAGAAAAGGAGGCCATTGGCCAAATAGATGGTCGGCCGGCCAAACAAAATGCCGACCGGCCAATGGACTATTTCACCAATGGCCGGTAGTCTTAAAACACGGCCGGTGGCCTCAAGACATGGCCGGTGGGTATCAGGGGTAGCTATCAAGCTGCTCCCTATCCTCAGGTGCAAAAACAAACAAGTCCTTGGTGTAAAACCAAGCACAGAACAAGCAAGTCGAGAGATCCTGAGGCAAGGCGCGTAGCCAAAACCTCCGGGAACTCAAAACAAACACGAACATGGATGATTACCGAGTGTTCAAGCGGTGACGTCCA